GAGAGAGAGAGAGAGAGAGAGAGAGAGAGAGAGAGAGAGAGAGAGAGAGAGAAAGAATCACACAGTATCACACAGACTCGCACACACAGGTATGCATAAACATCATGCGATATTAACAAAGCTGTGAAAGGAAAATCCCGCTTTTCAACACAGTTGGGTAGTGGGTGTCACTTCTGTCGTAAGACGGCAACGACGTCTTCAAATACGACAGCTATTTCCCAACCACATCGTCATAAGCAATTGACATGTGATATGGTTATAAGAATATGTAATGTGTGTGTGTGTGTGTTTGTGTGTGTGTGAGTGGGTGTGTGTGGGTGTGTGTGTGTGTGTGTATGTGTGTGTGTGTGTGTGTGTGAGAGAGAGAGAGAGAGAGAAAGAGAGAGAGAGAAATGAGTTCTGAACCAAATCACTTACGGCAAGACACGACATCAACGTGGCCATAATGCGTCTTCAGTTCCATATATGTTCTTCAGGAATGAATCTGGAAGGTGTGTATGAATAAACACCATGCAATATTAACATTGCAGCGTAAGGAAAATCCCGGTTTTCAACACGGTTGGGAAGTGGGTGCCACTTATGTCGCGAGACGGCAACAACGTCTTCATATACCACCCCGACTTCCCAACCACATCGTCACATGCAATGGACATGTGATATGGTAATAAGAATATATAATATGTGTGTGTGTGTGTGTGTGTGTGTGTGTGTGTATGTGTGTGTGTGTGTGTGTGTGAGAGAGAGAGAGAGAGAGAGAGAGAGAGCCCTATAATTTTCTCCGTTTCAATTGTTCCTCTGATGTTCGGCCCATGTCCATAGCAGCATCGATATTGTCGTTTTTCATGGCATGCAAAAGGAGTGTTGGTTGTGCATGTATAATTACAGCCGTTGTTGACATTGTGAGGTGCACGGTGGCATCGCATGCAGTGGCAGCTGCTCCGTGTATGACGCAACTCAGGTTCACACCCCATGACATCGATGTCGTCAGAATGGTCTCCTTCTGTATGAGAACAAACCATGATTTTCCAGTGCAAATCCAACGTTTGCCGGTTTCGATGCACGACATAATCGTCTTGATAGCTGCGAAGTGTAGAAGCCCGTCCAGTGTTGCCACCTTATCCACAACACGTATCAATGGGTGCGGTTTCGAGAAATAACGCGCCAACCTCAAAATCGCATGACACCAGCCTTTCGTGGTTTGACCACCACCTCGCTTTACGTCCTAGTAAGGGTTGTATTCCTCGCCCTCCTCGTCGCTGCTGATATCACTGCCACTCACCTCCAAGTCCCGTAAAGCCGGGTTCTCTTGATGCGGTCGTGTCTGCGCATCGCCCTTGTCATCAGAACGAACCACCGCGTCATCTCCCTACCGAGACGGTTGTTCACCCCCTTCGTTGAAGTCACATGAAGGATGTATGGGTGCCAATCTCCACTCTCTGAATCCGCCATGGACAGTCCGGGCATCCGTAGCAGGATTCTTCAACACGGTCGTCACATCCAGGAGAGATACTGCGCCACCTACATCCTGCACTGTTATGTCTCTTGTGTGTGTCCTTTCGCTATTGTGTTCTCGGACAACGATTTCCCATCCTTGCTTTCTCTTCCTCCTCCTGTCCACGTCCGTCAATGCCGCGGTGAGCTCCTCTACAGCCTCGAATATGTTCCCTCGGGGCACAGGATCTCCCGATAGAAGGTCGAGTGTGCGATCCTTTACGCACTCGACATCGACAACCTCCGCTGCTGCTATTGCGTCCTCCGTCACCTCATGCAATGCCTCGTGAATGAGGTTCTTGTCCTCGCCTCCACTCTTCATGAAGTCCACAATCTGGTCAAGTAGCACATACTCGACACCGTCCACCACCATTGTCGCCAGTTCATGGTAGTCGACAGGATCTCTTTGTGCCTTCTCGTTCATCCTGCTCAGCGCCAATATCTCCGCAGCATTCGGCTTCAATTCTTCACCACCCCCTGTCTTCAACATTTGATTTTCCCTCGCCTGGGATCTCACAAATTTCTTGAACGCCGCCATGTCGTACTAACCTCCTCCCTCTCTTTTCGTCATGTCGATGTCTTGATCGTTGCACATCCAGTCCACAACTCCATGAAGAGTGTTCGCAGAGCACTCCGTCATGATGTGGTCGTCATGCACGTCGGCATTTTGAGATAAGCGCAGCAGCAACTGCTGTGCTCTCGTTGACCTGTCTCCGTTTGCCGCCACTGACTGCTGAACGTCAACCCTCGCGTCAAAGTACGCCGGCGCTCTTTGCCGTAACAAATCCAGCTCCTCGTCGTTGTAGTAGTGGATTCCCTTTGTTGCGTATCTCATTACCTCTTTCTCCGCTCTCTCCACTTGATCCGCCGTCATCGGTGTCATTTTTCTGTGTTTTAATGTGTCCGGCTGTCAGTGGCACCAGAACAGTCGCGATAAGTCGAAAGACGGTGGTGGTGGTGGTGGTGGT